ATTTTAATGGTAATGTGATCATGTGATGTGGAGGAACAGAACTGTCAGTTGTATGATATGCGGAATATGACATTACTAGGGAGTGAAAATTGCAATATTTATTGCATTGATTTATTAATTACTTTTTACTTCTTTTCAGGAAACCTGGCTCACTTCAAGTCTGAGAGAGGTAAACCTGGTACAACAGAAACTGTCTGAATATGCAACACTTGTCAGCAACCTAGACCTGGAGTTTGAAATGCGCTTTCAGGACTTCAGGAAGAATTCAGGTGACATGGAGCTGTTTTCCCAACCCTTCAGCACAAGTGTGGACTGTGTCCCTGATCACATTCAGATGGAGTTGATTGAGTTTCAGTGCGATTCAGAGCTGAGGAATAAATTCATGTCACTGAAACCGAAGGACTCCTACACACGTCTCACCAGAACGGTACCCAAACATTAGGAAGCATGCACAGGTGATGTTATCTCTGTTTGGCAGCACCTACATTTGTGAACAGACTTTCAGTGTAATGAACCTTAACAAAACCAGGCTCAGAAGCACTCTGACTGATCTACACCTGCAGGACGTTCTCACCCTCTCAGTTTACACAGCTTCAGCCTGACATTGAGAGGCTGGTCAAAGCCAAAGACCAGCTTCATGTGTCTCACTAAGTGTCAAACTGCTGCTGTTTGCTGTTAATATGGACATGCATATGGACATAATTCGTGGCTAAATAAAGATTCATTTGCTTTGTATTTTGTATTTCTTGTACAAAGAGTGAAATGTTAAATACCTTTATAATAAACACATTTCAAGGAAACCGCCCCCCACCCGCCGCCACCGCCACCACCCACCCGGCCCTCAGCCCAGTAACGCATTTTCATTTTGGCCCTCCGAGGGGAAAAGTTTGGGCACCCCTGGTCTATATGTTGGTGTTTTTCATCTTCTAATGTCACAGAATACTGTGAAAATTATTTCAGTTAAGAAACTGTGCCACTGAATGTTACATGTAACACTTAAAAGGTCAGTGATGTTGACAAAGTATGTCCCTGATGGCACCATTAAGTGAGGACGAGACTGGTTTGGAAAAAAACAACAACCTGTGTAATAGCAGCTTGTTCGTTTTATTTTAAGACAAAGGCTGAGCTCCAGCACAGCAAACATCCTCTGGTGGGCACAAAGTCCTACTTCTTGTTCTGTCATAAAACATTTACTTACCTACTTCATAAAGGCTAAACTTTATGTAAGCAAATATATTTTCTCCCCCACTATACTACTAAATAGTTTATGATACACTGATGCCAACATGTTCACTGAGATCTGCTCTCTGATTTCTGAACAACTCGCCCCTAAACAGTGATTTAGTTGTTACTGATGTAATGCATAGGTTCTTTTCTGGGCGAAATAAGGACAGTCTGTTCTGCAGCCTTTAAAGTGTTTGTCACTGATGAAAACACCCTCATAGAGCCACTCAAATTAATTCAGTATCCATGACCTGAATACCAAACAAAGGAACAAGAGTCTTCTCCACAGTAGAGCTCTGGACAGCCAGCCACTTTGATAATATATCATTTTTGAATGTCTACTTTAGGCTGTGTCGATGCTCCAACAGTCTTGACTTGCCTCAGGGCAGGGTCTCCTTTAAAGAATGGATGCTGCTTCGACCACCAGAGTATATACTGCAGCAACCTACTAGGGCTTTAATTATAGATGGCCTCTGATCAAATGTGCTGCTTTTAGCAACATACGTACAGTGAAATGACAGACACACCAGTTTAATGGACATAGACAGGTTAACAGCTTTTTTTTTTAAAGAAATTGTTTTAGTTCATGGTATTTGTTGACAAAAATATGGAGGAAAGCTAGTTTCCTTAATTTAATTTATAATATTAATAAAGCTGGAATGTTAGGGTTTACTTGGAGATACATTTCTCACCTTCTTATACTCTAAGGGGAGACAAAAGGAAACACAAAGAATTAATGTATAAAATAAGTACATTTACAGCGGCTACAGTCATGCTAGCTTGCTAGGATGGATGTTGCTGTTGACTCGGGTTTGACTTGGTGTTTAGTCAGTTTGAACTCAATATGTGATAAATATGTTAAGGAAAAACTAGGTCCAGGATTACATAATGGTGTCTATTCATTCCTCTGAAAATTGCTGTTAGTCTTATTCTTCATATATAATGGTGAAGACCTAAGTACAGCTAACACAAGACCTCTGAGGTTTCCAGTGGTGCTTTGAGCTAAAAGCTAACTTCATCGTGCTATCTGTTGCAGGTGTGTTTTTTTTTTTTTAAGTTCAGAACATAGACTGCACAGTACATAAAGATGGACAAAGTTCTTATCTGTACTAAATCTCATAGTAGTCCATCCAATAAAAACATTTCAGTCTGAACACTGTGCTGCAAGTTTGACTAAAATAATGACATAATCAGCAAGAAAGTTAAAGAAATTTTCTGTGTGTTTGTCTTGGCTGCTTTGCCTTGAGGTAAAGTACAAATGTGAAATCCCTGGATATGTTGGTTTAAGTGTAGAGGTGGGCACTGAATAATGTATACCTGAGGGTCTGCCTCACATGGAGCCTCAGACCTCGCCAACAAAATGCACTTTCTTGCTCACATTGTTTTCCCTTAATGCTTCTGACATTTCTGAAACAGTAATGAGTCCTCTAGCTACTAGTGAGTCCACATTTACATTGTGCTTGAAATAAGAATTATTTCTGCTGCAGTCCTGTAATTAAATCAAGTTGAGTATACTAAAGTTCAGCTGGAAGTGCAAAGCTAATCAAGCCTGCTTGTGCAAAATACTACAATTTGAGTGACGTGCAGCAAAGCAGCTTTTACTGTTAGAAAATGACAGAGACTTTGTTCTACCCTTCCTGGGAACTGTAGGGTGGATATTTCTAATATATCTTTTCAAGGTGGTAAAGCATAATGTAAGCCACTTCATTGTAATCCTAATTGAAAACCGCAAGAAACTGCATCAGTGAGAAACCTGGCTGTTAATGAGCACATTTAATTATCAGAATATGAGATTTGCATTCCATGAATGAATTTATCCATACAAAGGATATACAGGTTTTCTGTGAATAATCTGAGTCTCAGTTCGTAGAACTTACTTCATGCATTGAGTATGATTTCCTTCCTTTGCTAAACTTGGCTCTGAGCATTATGTATGGGCCTGCACTTGAGCTAATTGGCACAAGAATTCATAGTATTCATTACAATGGAGGTGCTGTGTACTCTGTTGTGTTCTGTTCTATGAATCATCCTCTTAACAATCCACAGAATCTTCCAGGTTTAGGCAAATAAGAAGAAAACAATGTTTTATTCAGTATTTTCACATAGAGAAGCAACTGAATTAGAGGATTTAAATGCATTTAATAATTTATGAACGAGTATTTGTTCAACTTTTACACCAAAAAACATATTCTGAGTTAAACAACAAACGGAAAGAGCTGCATTTGTGCTAAATTCAACCATCCCATCTCCCCCAACTCCCTGGTGTGTTGTTTTAACATCCTGGTTACACCCTTGTTTACAGTTCATAGAAGATATTGACACATTTGGCACAGAGACAGCAGGACTTTGAATAAACCTCTTTTTTCTTTCATTTCTGATGATGATTTTGTTTGTTAAATATCCACAAGAGCTTCTCGGAAGACTTCATTGAAGTTCAATGTTTAAGTCATAAAGACAATAAATGATATACAGCCACAGTGCACTGTAGACAAAAAGTTTCTGTTTCTGCAGTTTGATAAACTCGCCCTGTGCTGTTACAGCTTGAACCATCAGTTTGGTACTACTGAACCAGGACTTGTTTCAAGCATTTGCGCAGCAGATCATCTTGGTTATGTGTTGCATCTGTTGAGATAGCGTCCAGGATGATGTTTGGTAATGTGGACCACTGAAGTAAAACATAAACTTAAATGAGAAGTGTAGAGACCCTCTTCCAAAGTCTAGCCGTTAGTACTGGTAACATTTATAGTCATATTATTCATTCTTCTTATTATTCATAGTTTCATAGTTTCTGTGTAATAAAATGATCAGAATGACTTATGCATCGTAAACCTGGAGCATCAGTGTAAGGAGTACGTGCTAGTTTCTGGGAGAAAATGGGTTAGAACATGTTCCACTAATGGATTATTTATTACACAAGATCATTTTATCAGTGGTGTCGTTGGATCAGGATCTGAGTAATTTGAGTCTGGACTCAGATGTTTTGGTCCGAAGAAAGAAGCATTTTATAGTAAAGCCAGACTTTATAACAGAGCAGAACCTCACCCACAAGAATCACTGAATCAATACTGTATATCCAAAACTAGTGTGTTACAAATGTGATTCACTGATTCTATGTATTGTCAAGGTTAAATTTGAGAAATCACATCTTGAATGTTTATGATGTTTAAAGAATCAGGTTATTAGTAAACAGTGATGTTTTGACAATTTAAAATAAATAAATGTAATATGTAATTAATATTTAACTTGGTGTGTATTTTTCCTTTCTTCAAACAGCCTCATTGTTTTTATTTGAAGGAGGTTGGG